ACAGAGAGTGAAATCTCTCCAGGACATTACATCAGTTCCTCTTTTACCCTTGGCATGAAAGTTCTTCCTCTCCCCATCCTCCCAGACTTCCTAAGTCCTGCCCCAGCACACACCCACGCCGGGCCTTGAAGCCAGGACTTCAAAGACAGCCTGCAGGTAACCAGATTATGGACCAATGCCTGCTCTCAAATTTGTAAGACGGGAAATGGGTTCAGGAAATGGGATTTTTTTTTCCAATACCTGGTCTTCATCATCCTTGAGTATTTTTAAACCTTAATAAGCTTTTAAGTAAAGAGAGACATTCTGTAAATGGCATTCCAAAGAGAATGTGTAAAAGTTCAGAATGAAGTTGTCTTAGTTACTTACTGTGATCACCTTTTTTTACTTTTTACAATGAGCACATTCTATGACAGAGGACGAGTGTGCCATGGACAAATGATAAATCTGTTTTTTATGGGCAGCAAGCTTGAGATTCGTAAGCTATAAAAAGAAAACTTGTCCCCAAAAGATTATAGATTGATCTATGGTAAAATTATGAAATACTAGCCATTCAAGCTAACTCCATGAGCCTGATCGACACCGTGTGAGCATCTGTGTGCACTTGGGTTCAAGTGAGGAAGTTAGTATTTGCCATTCCTTCCTACCTGTGTCTTTGCAAGGCTGATTGAACACTTTTTTTAAAAGAACCTTTCTTATAATGGAACTTAACAAAGCTAAACAAAAGCAGAGGAGCTGTGTAAGGAAGCAGTACCCAGCAGTTTGGAAAATCACACAGTCAATCCCGTTTCCTCTGTGGCCCTCCTACTCCTTCCTCTGCCTTCTCAGATTGCTTTAAAGCAAATCCCAAATATATTATTTCATCTGAAAACAGGTCAGTATAGGCCTAAAACGATGAAGACTCAAAATCATAATCACAGAACCAGCCAACAGGAACTAGTAGTTTCTTGATATCATCAAATATCCTCTTAGAGTTGATCCTTTTCCAGCTATCTTAGAGACCTTTTTTACAGTTCAAATCAGAATCCAAACTAGGACCCAAACACTGTGAGTGGTTGATGTGTGTGTGTGTGTGTGTGTGTGTGTACTGAGGATTGAACCAAGGGCCCCACACTCACTAGGCAAACATTCTACCACTCAGCTACCCACCACCTGTTTATATATATACATATATATAGAGAGAGAGAGAGAGAGAAAGAGAGAGGCCGTCCTTGAACTTACCCTCCTTTTGCCTCAGCCTCTGAGTAACTGGGATTACAAAGCACCACCATGCCTAGTTGTGTCTCTTTCAATCCATAGGTTTCTATCCAGATCCTTCTTGTGCATGTGTTTGAGCACATTCATTCTCTCTCTCTCTCTCTCTCTCTCTCTCTCTCTCTCTCTCTCTCTCTCTCTCTCTCTCTCTCTCACTCTTGTACTATCTCCCTCTTCCATTGTTCCCAAAGGTCTAGACAGAAGGTTTTAAGAAGTCAGCCATTGGGGCTGGCAGAGTGGCTCAAGTGATAGAGCACCTGCCTAGCAAGTGCGAGGCCTGAGTTCAAACCCTAATACTGCACCCCAGAAAAATAGTAACCAAGAAGTTAGCCATAATTTCTATTAACTTTTCCCCTATACATAATATAGGTGGAGTAAGCCTTATCCAAAATGCGTGGGTACAGAAGAGTTTGAAGTTTGGATTTTTTCAAATTTTGGAATATTTATGTGTACATGATGAGATGATTTGGTAGTAAGACTCAAGTCTAAACATGAAACTCATTTACATTTCACATATACCTCATATACATAGCCTGAACGTAGTTTTATATAATGTTTTTAAATTTTTTGTTGTTGAGACAAAATTTCATGGCGTGGAATTTTCTACATATGGACACAAGTTTCAGATTTTGGAGCATTTTGGATTAAGGGATGCTCAAGCTGCATCCTTCCCCTCCCCCTGCTGCTTTCAGATTTTTCTCCTTCTCTTTGGTTTTCAGTGACTTGGCTGATGTCCCTGAGTGTGGACTTCATTCTGTATGTCCTGCTTGGGGTCTCCTCAGCTTCTTGAATTTTTAAGCTCATTGTTGTTACTGCTACTGAACTGAATACAATATGGCCATTATTTCTTCCTCTTCTCCCCCCCATTCTTCCTATACTCTCCTTCTTAGACTCCAGTTGCACATGTCTTAGACCATTTGATTTTGTTGTAGTTTGTTTTTAATCTTGATTGCTCTGTTTTCAAATTTACAAACCCTTTCTTTTCTCCTCTCCAATCTATTAAGCCCATCAGTCTAATCTTTCATTCCAGATTCTGTACTTTTCAGTTCTAGAATCTTCATTTTGTCTTTTAGTTTCCATTTTCTCTCCCGATGGCTTCTATCTGCCATCTCTCATGACTGTCATTTCCTTTTAAGTGTGTGGCTTTTTAATAATCACTACTTTGAAGTGTTTCTCTTCTCCAGCTTCTGGGTCATCTGAGGGTCTGTTTCTGTGAGGTCCTCTTCTCTTGAGGAGAAGTCACATTTTCTGTTTCTTCTCCTATCTAGGAAGACTTTATTGGATGTTGAGCAGTATAGATGGCACATTTGTGGAGACTGGATTTTGTTATATTCCTCTGAAGAATGCTGACTTTTGCTCTAGCAGCCAACTGGCTGGCTAGTCACTTGGTGTCTGTAGAGGCCTAGGCCTACATTTCATTAGAGCAAATTGACTTTAGTTTTGCCTTTATCCCTCAGCCAGATCCCTTTGTCCTGGAGCATGGTCGTTGTTCCTAAGGCGAGGCAATGCTGGGAATGAGAGACAGCCGTAAGTGTTTTCAGGGCCTTTAACTCGATGACACGCAAATGGAGCTGAGCTGTAGCCACTAGCTGAGACTTCCACTATCTAACCACACAACTGTTGCTTCCAAGGAAACTCCACAGAGCGTCCCCTGCACCTGTGATGCTCAGGTGTCAGACAAGAGTTTAAGAGAACTCTCTATCCAACCGAGTAGCTATTCCTTCTGAACCTACCCACCCCATTATGAGATTTGCTTCAATGATTTTCTGCCTTTCTGGTGTCTACATGCTCTGTGTTGTGACAGCTCAAATGACCTTTAACTCCCCTGTACTGTAGGGCTTGGAGAATCCTCCAGGGAAGGCTGTATAAATAAGGAATTCTGTACAGGTCCCTTCTTCCAGAAATAAAATGCCCTTCCATTTCTGTCTACTTACGTCAATCTCCGAATGGTTTTTTAAATGTAGATTTTATCCAGCTTCTATAATTTTTATCTTTAGGGAGTTTAGCTGGTGTGAGCTACTCCACTATTATTGACACTAGAACCCACCCTTCCCTTTATTACGTAAATGGTGACAGATTAAAAATACTTCACCATTACTTTCAGTTCTAACCATAGAGCCCAGTTACCAGTCCTTAGCAAAATAGTGAGATACTCCTCATTCCTTTTGGTAGCTGCATACTATTCCATTATTATAGACCTATTATTGGGTATTAAACAAGTGCAGTGGTGTTGGGGGACCCACCCTTCGTTCTACATACTTACCTCAGCTTATCTCTGAGCTGAGGATCTGCAGGCTTAAGAAGTTGTTCTTGAAAGTTCTCTCGAGCACAAGAAGATTGTCAGTCTATAAACTGTGGCCACTGTTTATGCTGAGAAGCTGTGGCATGATTTTGTGCCCTAGTTTCTATGTGACAAAGTAAATATTGTAACAAATAGATGGATTCTAAAATCCGGCCAGCGTCTGGTTCTAACCCCCTAACTGTCTGGGTGAATTTGAGTAAGTTGCTTGTGCCTCAGTTTTATCATCTGTGAAATAAGAGTAACAGTGGTATCTTGTTGGAAATCTTAATGAAATCCTTATCTAGGATATAGTCATTGATAATCATCATTATTATTAGCAAAATCAACAGGAGGTAGAGAAGAAGAAAATCTGGTTGTGAAAGGTAAGTCAACAAGAGCATCTAGAGAGACACTCCCAAGAACCCTCCACCTCTGAAGCCACCTGGAAGAGTCAAGTGAGCAAAAGGTGAAGAATGGGAATGGGTTCCTCATGTTTATCAGCCACCGACCGGGTGCCTGGAATGTTTGTGGGCATCCCTTGATTGTCCAGTGGCAGGAAAACCATTTCAAGTGTATGCACTTGAATTTCAATTCAGCCATGTGAAAAGACCATCCTGGGGACCTAGGGGCTCTGTACACACGTACCCTTGCTTTTAGAGCCATGTGAGGTCCCCAAGCTGCCAGATGGCATCTGTGATCGTCTTTCCCTCTGTCCCACAGATAACTGTATCCAGAGGACCCCCCGGCCACCTGTGGAGAGTGTGCACCACAACCCTCCGACCATCGAACTCTTACACCGCCCTCGGTCACCCATCACGACAAATCACCGGCCTTCTCCTGACCCCGAGCAGCGGCCCCTTCGGTCCCCCCTGGACAACATGATCCGCCGCCTGTCCCCAGCCGAGAGGGCCCAGGGACCCAGACTCCACCAGGAGAACAACCACCAGGAATCCTACCCCTTGTCCGTGTCTCCCATGGAGAACAATCACTGCCCGCCGTCGTCCGAGGCCCACCCCAAGGCCACCAGCCCCCGGCAGGAGAGCACGCGGGTCATCCAGCTGATGCCCAGCCCCATCATGCACCCCTTGATCCTGAACCCCCGGCACTCCGTGGACTTCAAACAGTCCAGGCTCTCCGAGGACGGGCTGCACAGAGAAGGGAAGCCCATCAACCTGTCCCATCGGGAAGACCTGGCTTATATGAACCACATCATGGTCTCCGTGTCCCCTCCAGAAGAGCACGCCATGCCCATTGGGAGAATAGCAGGTGAGAGGACTCGTCCCTGTCGTGCCTCTGGGGCATCAGGGAACCTTCCAGAACCTGCTCCCTCCTTGGGGCCTCACACCTATCTCACACCTTTCCCAATTAGGTATCTGCAGAGGCTTAGGGAGGGCAGGTCAAGGCTTCTGCCTGGACCAGGCAGAATCCCTAATGGCCTGGCTAATTAGCTGCTGGGAGGGATAGTTAGTGAGCCTCAGACATGGGAAGAACCAAATGTCCCATGTCCAGCTTCCAAGGACAGTCACATCAGAGCCATGGCTAAGAGAAACATTTAAAGTAATGTTAATGACCCTGTCCTAAAGTTTCCAGCAGCTAATTAATGGCCGGACACAGCATAAAGGGCCTTTGTCTCAGATTCCTGCCTGTGGTTCTATCCCATGGCCGGCCACTCCATACAGCTCCTCCGGTGGAACTGGGGAAGACAGGGCACTGGGACTGTGGTGTTGGACGCAGGTGTTGCTGGATCGTTTAGACAAAGGCATCCACTCCCAAATTCCCTTTTCTTTTATGATGGCAAGCCAAATTTGCTTACCTAAGTCAAGAAGACAGTTAGGGAAAAACCTCCCCCTTGCATTTTTGCTGGTCTGCCCATAATTCACATGAACCCATCCTCTAAAAGCTCACGCTCCAACCCTTTGGCAAGGTGAGTTCTTCCTAGTGTCTCTTCATTCATGAGACATTTGTTGAGCACCTACTGTGTACAGAGAAATGCACTAAGTGGACCACACACAGGTCTGATTGAACAAATACGATACGGTTTTCTCATGGCATTGAGAATTTAGTGAGGGAAGCAAATGTGAAAGCCACTGAGACACAAGGCAAAAATGAAAGAAGGTTTACTGCCCATTCCTTTAGTGTGCAAGCGTTCCCTGAACACCTACTGTGTGCCAGAATAAGAATGTTTTGTGTCGAGAAAGCCAAAGGAAGGTCGTTTTGATTGGAGGAACCAAGGAAGCTTTTCAGGGGAGACAGCTCCATATAGAGCAATGTGCTTTTGGTAGCCGGAGGGAGGCCCAGAACGAGGAGACACACCTGCTCAGGTCAAGGTGAGGAATGCCCCTCCTCCAGGAGCTGATGCTCCAGCTGACCACCAAGATGCAGCAGTGCTCTGAACACCAGGCCTTCCTGCAGGCCTACTTGTGCCGTGACTCAGTCTCCCTTTTTATTTCAGTCATTGTTTCTAGATTTTTCTCTGACCCCAAATGTACCTCCATTGTTGCCTCAGTTTTATTGCTGTAAATCATTTACATCAGGGATGTTGAATCAAGAAAATAAAATGACTGGGCTCCAGTGGCTCACTGCCTATAATCCTAGCTACCTGGGAGGTAGGGAGGATCGTGGTTCAAAGCCAGCCTGGGAAAATAGTTTGTAAGGCCCCATCTCTAAAATAACCAGAGAAATGGACTGGAGATATGGCTTAAGTGGTAGAGCACCTACTTTGCAAACCCTGAGTTCAAACCCAAGTCCTACCAAAACATACAAACACGCAAACAAGTTAATTAACTAATTTTAATAGGGGCTGGAGGTGTGGCTTAGAGCTGGAGCACTTGCCTAGCATGCATGAGGCCCTGAATTTGACCCCAGCACTGCAGAAAGAAAGAAAGAGGGAGAAAAAAAAATGATGTGTAAATATGGTTTGTGTGTTTAAAAGCCTGGAAAATGAGGCTGAGGTGTGGCTAAAGCGGTGGAGCGAGGACCTGCCCAACAAACACGAGGTCCTGAGTTCAAACCCCTGTGCCACTAAATAAACTTGTGTGTATATACTTATTAAAAACCATAAGAAATGAAATATGTTCAGGAATCCATTCAAAATGATCCTCCAGGTTTGGGAGATGGGGTGGGTGGGTTGGCCATGAGGTAGCTGATGGTTATGTGGGTGGGTGGGTGGCAGATGCTTGGAGGTTCGTATTATTGTTCTGTTTTGATATACACATGAGGCTTATTTAATAAGAAAAAGGGAAAAAAAAAGAAGCTGCAGAAAAAAAGATGGCGGCAAAGAAGCCCCCATCCTTTGTGGACATGACCCTTCTTGTCCACATAGACCCTCCTGTCTTGTTTCTTTCGGGATCCTCACAGCAGGAGGTGCATTTTGCACATTCTTTTTACTAGATTCTAGTTCTCAGAGCAGCTCTTGGAGGTAGATTTTTACTGCCATTTTCATTTCGCATACAAAGGGGGCATTTGTACAGGAAAACCACAGAGGAAACTGAGTCCCAGAGAGGCAACATATCTGTGCCCAAGGTCAGATATGTTGGATGACCTTGCCAGCCCTTGGCTACTGTCCACAATGCAGCCCTTGTGGGGTCCGGCTTCGTTTTCAAGGTCTGTCATGCCCATGCTGTCTCCTCCAGACTCTTGGGGATCTAAGATAGGAAAGGTGAATTACTGCAGGTTTTCCCCCTTGTTTAGTAGATTGTCAATTTCAAAACGTTTCTTAAAACCATACCACTTTTTTATGTGTTCCTAAGCATTAATAGTTTGCTGATGGAGACTGTCTTATCAGTTAAGAAGCTCCATGGAATATTGCACCAGTGAAGAAATAAGTCTGGGTGTCTGTGGATTCCTGAGAACATGCAGAAAGGGGGTGTTTTCTGCTTTTCTTTATGGCACTAAGAACTTAGAATATTCATTAAAATAACCTTGGGGCCAGATCTTTTGGGGGAGGATGCATTAACTCCTTCAGTATGACCCTAAAACTAATTATCAATGCTTTCATAGTATATACAAAAGCTCTTAAACTCTCCAAATAGATGCATTAACTCATGTAACCAAATCCAAGATTCATTAACTTAACCCAAAAGGCGTCATCTCTCAGGGGTGACATGAGAGAGTTGGTTTGGGTGATCTCTGAAGTTCCTCCTGGCTCTGCAAGTCTACGATCTAACACTAAGTCTAATGTAACCCTCTGAAGAGGAGTCTCACGGCTCTAGGCTCCTTTGTTCCTTTTGGGGATACCCTGCCTTTCCACCCCAACCCTCTGGTATCTTTCTGGGCTAGCTGGATCTTTGTAAAAATTGATTCTTTTTACTGGAGATCAAAATCACTGGGTGACTTCTGTTTATACTGGAAGGTTCTGTCATTACTAAGCAGCCGTAAGAAGCCTTTTTAACTTTTTTTTTTTGGTGGGACTGCGGTTTGAACTCAGAGCTTCATGTCATAAGAAGCCTTTACATCTCTATAAAGCAGCTGTTAGATGAGAAAACTTAGTTCTGAAAACTCTTGAAATGAGCACAGCCAGGAAGAATTGAAGGTGCTGTCGAATGAATGTATGACAGCTGGAGGGAATAGATGGGAATTATGGATGTGGATGAAAAGCCAAAGCTGGATTCTTAGTGTCAGGTAGAATTTGCTCGGGGACATGAGGATGTAAGTGTCTGGCTGCCTCTGTGTGTGTTTAAGGCACTGTCTTGCATTCTTGCAGGGGTGGGCGTTCATCAGGGTATAAGACTCAATCTTTATCACAAAAGAGCTGAGCACAGTTAGCGCTAAAAGGAAAGCACATGATAGGTGTCTTAGAAGGTTCCCATTGGGTATTGTAGGAAGTCAGGACAGGCTGTGTGCAGGCTGGGTTTTAGCTGGGCTTAGAAGAAAGCTAGCATGTGGACAAGGAGAGATAGAAAAAAAGAGGTTATTCTGGGTGGACAAGACCTACAGGAGCAAACACAAGATAAGGAAAGCCTTGTAAAGTTTTTCTATGTCGGGGAGAAATGGAAGCCCAAGAACCCAAGTCTGTCCAGATCAATTAAAAGTTCATCATTTTTCATAAATTCTTTTTTTTCCACCTTTATTTTTTTTTGGTGGTACTGGAGTTTGAACTCAGGGCCTTGCACTTGCTAGTCAAGCATTCTACCACTTGAGCCAGGCCCCCAGCCCTTTTTTGCTTTACTTAGTTTTCAGATAGGATCTTGTGTTTTTGCATAGGGCCAGGCTCAGACCAAATCCTCCTATCTGTGTCTTCTGCATAGGTGGGATCACAGGCATGCACCACCACACCTGGCTTACTGATTGAGAAGGGGTCTTGCTAACATTTTGCCTAAGCTAGCCTCAAACCATAATCCTCCTGATCCCTGCCTCCCCGTGTAGCTGGCATTACAGGTATGAACCGCCACACCTGGCCCTTTTCCCCCCTTTTCCTAGCTCTAAAATTGAGACACATATACATTTAAACGATCGTGTGCAAAGTTATGACGTTTACTTTGGGTATTTGCTATGCGGAAAACCTAAAATCATAACATAAATACAGAACACAAATTAGGTCTATGTAAATATAACATATAGTTTATTTTTACTCTTCAAAGGATCAGAAGGGCTGTTATTAAGAGTTTAACAGCAGGGGGGACTGAGGAAATAATAGGTAGAACACTTGCCAAGCGTGCATAAAGTTGTGGGTTCAGTCTCCAGCACCACAAAAGAAAAAAAGCAGCAAGTTGACTAGCATCTGTGGGAAATTGTTTAACAGGACAGAGTGAGGCAAGACTCCTGGGTCTGTTTTTAGCTGATGGCTGATGGTCCATGTAGCAATGAGTAAGTTGCTTTTTCTGTGTGTGTCTTCTGTTTGCAATCTTTGAGAAAGGATCTCTCAGGACTGGGGTGGGGGATAGGGGTAATGGGAAGTATCTGTCATCTTCTAAAACTTTCCTCCACCTGCAGAGGTTTCACTGGCCCTGGGTCCCACCAAGGCGTTTCATAGACAAAGGGCGTGAGCACAGGCAGGTTGATGGGATGTGACCTATGAATGCTGGGAGCCACATTTTCAGTCTGCACGGTTACCTCTGGTTAACACAGTCCAAAAGTAGGAAATGAAAAATACCAGAAAATTTTTGGATACTTGTTATTAGAATATGTCATTATAATTGTTTTACTTTATTGTTAGTTACTGCTGTCAACCTCTTTCTGTGCCTAACTTACAAATTAGCAGTACTATAGGTATGCGTATACAGGGAATAAAACCTTCATACATTGAACTTGGTAGGATCCATGGCTTC